ATAATGGGTTTAAACTAAAAGAGGGTAGATTCAGACTAGATATAATGAAGAAATTTTTTACAATGAGGGTAGTGAAACACTGGACCAGGTTGCCCAGAGAGGTGGTAGATGCCCCATCCCTGGAAACATTCAAGGCCAGGCTGGCTGGGGCTCTGAGCAACCTGATCTAGTTGTAGATGTGCCTGTCAATTGCAGGGGGGATGGACTAGATGACCTTTAAAGATCCCTTCCATCCCAAAGCATTCTATGATTCTATGAATCACTTCCCTCAACCTGCTGGCCACGCTTCTTTTGATGCAGCCCAGGATATGGTTGGCTTTCTGGGCTGCAAGAGCACGTTGCCAGCTCATGTCCAGCTTTTCATCCACCAGTATCCCCTAGTCCTTCTCCTCAGGGCTGCACTCAATCCCCTCATCCCCCAGCCTGTATTGATACCGGGGATTGCCCCGACCCAGGTGCAGGAACTTGCACTTAGCGTTGTTGAACCTCATGAGGTTCACACAGGCCCATTTCTCCAGCTTGTCCAGGTCCCTCTGGATGGCATCCAGTCCCTCAGGCACGCCAACTGCACCACTCAGCTTGGTTTCATCTGCAAACTTGCTGAGGGTGCACTTGATCCCGCTATGTCGTTGATGAAGATATTAAACAGCACTGGCCCCAGTAAGGACCCCTGAGGGACACCACTTGTCACTGATCTCCATCTGGACATCAAGCCATTGACCACTACCCTCTGGATGTGACCATCCAGCCAGTTTGCTATCCACTGTACAGTCCGCCTGTCAAATCCATATCCTTCCAATTTAGAGTGAAGGATATTGTGGGGGACTGTGTCAAAGGCCTTACAGAAGTCCAGATAGATGACATCCATAGCTCTTCCTTTGTCCACTGATGCAATCACTCCATCATAGAAGGCCACTAGGTTGGTCAGGCAGGACTTGCTCCTGGTGAAGCCGTGCTGGCTGTCTCAAATTTACTTTACAAGCCTTTGTAGAGCATGTAAATGCCTCTGGCCTGAAGAGAACTCCCAGCAGAGTGAAAGTTTTTTTTCTTTGACTCTTGAACATAGAGGATTTGGACTCCAGAACCAGGATTATAAAACAAGCTCTGCTATGGCAGATCACGACAGCCTCCCAGGAGCCATTGGGTAGAGTCCAGGCAGTCCTATGGCTGAGATTTCCAAAAGTGTGCAGCCCCAATTACCTCCATGGGTTCAGCTCCCTGAGACCCCATTGAAAATTCCAGCTCAGGGCTTGTGGTGGTGGCTAAGAAGCAGACCCATCTGCCTGTGCAGAAACAGTATCCAGGAGATAGCACGTACCATTACAACACTTGAATTCTCTGGGTTAAAAAAAGCAAAATTATGCTGAGGAAGAATCAATAGGAAGCTTCTCATAAGGAATTAAGAGAGGTTGTCAAAATCACTCTCTTAAAGCCAAAATCAGGAGACTGGATTATATTTCTGATAAACCCTGTGATGGCCACAATGGCCACCCAGTGGGAGACATCAATGCCTCATGGGCACTGGAGTTCGTCCAGAATGGGGAAGCAAGGAATTTGGACTGCAGTTCCCATCGCCTATCACAGCTGTATAGAAGCTGAAAATTGTTGAAATGATTTTGAATTATTTTAGACTTTTTCAAAATTGTCCCATGTTATCGCTCCTAAGGATATGAGCCTGAATTTTTGCATGGTGACTGTCTCAAGCAAATGTGGGTTCTGGCTGCAATCACAAATGCATTTCACAGATTAACTCACGTATATAAGATATTTTAGTGTTGGCTTTATGTACCTAATATGCATTACTTTTCACATTGATGTTTAGCTCAATTGAAGATAAATGCAACCCCATGATGTGTCTTCTGCTCAGTTTTGGATCAGAACCTTGTAAAACCAGAATTACACACAATTAAACACAGTCATCATTCAACAGAGTTGCACAGACTTCCATACCACAGTTTAGCAAAGGGTTCCATTTTATGATCTAATAAACTGTATAAAAGGGAGCTGCAGAATATACACAGAATCCCTGGCATTTGCTTCCCTGTCTTGCTGCCCCCCCCCCTCGCCCCCCGCTTTTGACTGATTTCTCATAGCATAACTAAGAAATCTTTTTTCCTTTCCTTTGCAGATATACCCAGACCTTCCACAGCCAAACAGAACAGATAAAACCATTTTTAGGCTGGCTCCAGAAGACCCAGGTTCTGTTTGACTATCACCTTTTTGGATAAATATTTTGGGGTTCAGGATGAATAAGACAAGGGCTGTTAATGATGGTCTTCCTTTCCTGAACAGTAAGAACTGGAGCTCAAACCGAAGTTTCCCTGTGCACATTTCTAATCAGTGCAGGAACATCACTGACCTTACTGTCTTTCTGGCCACCTCTTACAGCTTGGAGACTGTCCTAGGCATTGTGGGAAACATCTGTCTGATTGCTGTCATCGCCAGACAGAAGGAAAAGGCCAACGTCACCAACATCCTAATTTCAAACTTAATAATTTCAGACATGTTTATGTGTCTTGTCTGTCTGCCTTTCACTGTTGTTTACACCATGATGGACTACTGGATATTTGGGGAAGTCATGTGCAAAATGACCTCTTTCACTCAGTGCACATCTGTGACAGTGTCAATTCTTTCCCTTGTCCTTATTGCTCTGGAAAGACACCAGCTTATCATAAACCCGACTGGCTGGAGGCCAAGTATCTCCCAAGCCTATCTAGGAATTGGAGTAATTTGGACTTTAGCATGTCTCATGTCCCTGCCCTTCTTGACCACATCTATCTTGTCTAATGATTTGTATGAGCAACTCTCACACATCATGAATTTTTCCACTGACAAAGTCATATGCATCGACTCGTGGCCTTCTGAGCAGCACAGACTTATCTACACTACCACTTTACTGCTCTTGCAATATTGCATCCCACTGTTCTTCATCATACTTTGCTACCTGCGCATCTACTTGCGTCTACAGAAGAGAAAGGACATGTTTGAGAAGAGTGAATACAGCAACCGAGCAGTTCAGCTGAAAAGGATAAATATTTTGTTAGCATCCATGGTTGCTGCTTTTGCTGTTTGCTGGCTACCACTGCATGTTTTCAACACCATTGTGGACTGGAATTACAAAATAATTTCTCCTTGCCACCACAATCTGATCTTCTCATTGTGCCACTTGGTAGCTATGGCTTCCACCTGTGTCAACCCTGTGATCTATGGTTTCCTAAACAGCAACTTCAAAAAAGAAGTGAAGTCACTGATTCTGAGCTGCCAGCATAATTCAGTAACTGCATCAATGGAAGAATATGATCATTTGCCTTTATCCACCATGCAGACTGAAATCTCTAAGGGCTCACTGGTGTTGAACTGCAGACATAACTCTATCTAGCTAGTAGAAAACATTTCAGAGGGGTGCACTGACACCACACACCAATTACTACCTGTAGGTATAAAAAAAAACTGGTGATGCCATAGCTGGGATGTGAACAGGAACCCATTATTGCCTGATTTTTGGAAGAACAGGCAGGGAAGGTCATAAATGTATACAGTAGCTCCTATGGTACACAAGTTGTTCATGTCATTGAGATGGTACAGACATTGAGGAGACTAGCCTGATGTATACATGGCTGCTCTAACAGATCAATAACTAAGCTGTGGCCGCACATAGACTGACATGGGGTTCGTCAGCTAAGCTCACATCTCTACCATGGCTGCAGTAGAAACCCAGACTTCTAGTTGCAGCACTGCAGGCTGCTAAAAGCTGCATAAGAGAAGACTCTCTCAGTTTTTCAGTATTAGTAAGATTTTTACACATGGCTGACACACCAGTGGAACAGAAATATGTAAATATATAATTTTTTGTGCTTTAGCAACCCTCCCAGCCCATTAGGTAACAGTAATCTTTCAGCAGATCTAGTTCACATCAAACAACTGGATGTTTGTATGAAAGTTCACTCTCTATCATATAGGCTTGGGAACAGCCATTGCCTCTGAAAGTAGGGACACAGAACAATGACCCCGCTATGAAAAAAGCAGTTACTTATTGAGGGATGGTGGCAAATGAAAATGTTACTCAGTGGATTGAATTCTTAAAACACATTGAGAGGATGCTGAGCACTATCTTCAAGCAAATGAAGAACAGTTGTAGATCTACATGGAAACAAGTCTGGTCGACTTTGCAATTCCTGATGTTGTCAGTCACAAAGCTCTGCAATGCTAAAACTGCATGCCATGATGGCACAAGGTGGCTGGATTACTGGAGTTGTTCCAGGTCTTGGTAGCAAATGCCATTTCTGCTTCAGCAGCTCCTTGGTACTTTAATTGTGAAGTATCACATTCAGAAGGTCAGAACAGGCATGAAAACATGTTTGTAGAAACCGTGTCTTTTCAGAGTGGGTACGCTCCCAAAGAAATAAGCATATGCATGGAGGCTTTCAGTTTCCCATTAAAATAAAACCAGATGTCAGATACCAGTCCCACTCGCTGACATCAGCAACAGAGATGGACCTGAAATTTTGACTACTCAGTAGAAGGTCAATGAAAATAAACAAGTGGAATCTAGGTCAGGTTGAAGCCAAGCTACATGTAAATAAGTAGTATTGTCAATTGCTCTACTTAAGTGAGCGTCATGCTTTTTCACATCTGTGGTATTTTTAGTCTTTGTACACAAAACCTACAAACGATAAACTCATTTTAACGTCTGAAGCTAGAGACATTGCTCAGTGACTACTGAGAAACCAAGAAATAGGTATGCCCAAGAAGCCCATACTGAGGAACGGATTAAAAAAAAGGCAGCAAGTGTAAAAAGGAGACCAAAAGGAGACCAACCAGGTCAATGCCAAATATGGAAACATATTCTGTCCTGAGTTGTTAAATTAACCTTAGCAGAAGACTGGACTAGGTGACCACCTGAGGTAATTTCCAACCTGAATTATGCTATGATAAGCAGTCATTACTCATTATAGTCAATGGGTTTGCATTGAGTTCAAGCTATCCAATGTATAGTTATGCAGAGAGCTAGAAATCCCTTAGCTGGAAGCTCTCTGATTATACAAATTGGTAAAGAGTTAGGTGAGGAAAAAGTTCTTCCTATGCTGTGGTCTGGCAGGCAATATGGATGTTGGACAGAGTATCTGAAGACAAGAGCAAAACCTTATGCTATAAGGTAGCAAGAGCTATCAACAAGCATGAGCTCATATCCTCAGCTGGCAGAAATGGGAGTTAATCCCTTGCCATGAGCTGGGTGCACAGAAATCGGTGGCAAAACTTCAAGTTTGGACTTGAATTCCTATGTGCAGCCTTAAGGCAGAAGCTGTTTTGATGCAGCCACCCTTTTAATTCTGGGCAGAACCTGTATATCTCAGTAAGAGAGTTCACATGCAATTACCTTTTGTATCTTCCTCAATTACCTGGCGAGACATTTTCGCTTCTTTCAAATGGACTTCTGCTTTCTTTTTTATTTTGTTACTTGCCACAGTACGACGAGAAGTTGTTTCTCATGATTTGTTTGTATGCAATGTCATTTCTAGACTGGACATTAAGTCTATTAGAAACACAGAACAAGAGGACTCTCATTTTATTTTATATGCAGCTTGAAATTTGCTACTGTAGGTGAAACCAGAGCTGATGCAACCATGTGACACTGAGTAGTACAAAATACAGTAGCTCCTCTTCATCAGCTTAATTTATACAAAAAATGTGTTGTATTATTTGAGGGCTTAAATACTGCTTAAACTTTATAGTGTTTTTGTATTTAGGATCAATTTCATCCAATTAGCCTTGAGTAATTCTGCCTGTTTCCTGCACTTGTTATAATTCCAACATTTAATTAACTAAGATGCACGTCAAGCTATTGTAAGAATACTCTGCTGAACATGAACATAGAAGATTATCTGATTTATGATCTTAAGTATAGAACTTTCCAAGCACCAGTGTCTTAAATGGAAACACAATGGCCTTTAGAATTTGTACTTCCATTAACATGTCTTTGTGGCTAGTTCTAAGTGAAAACTTTTTGATAGAGAACTTACAGTATGTCAGAGACCTGCCACTAGAGCTATGCATTTGCATTGTACATCAGGTCCCAGTTCTTCCTGCAAAGGGTAGAAATATCAGCGGGGTCTGACTCTGTTTAACTGTAATTCATGTGGCCATTAGTATCCATGATCACAAGTAAATACGTAAAGCAAGCAGATCCAAATTTACAGCAGCAAAGACAGGCACAAACAAATGTATCTTCCTCTAGTGATTAAGGGAAGTGTCAAGTTTGGAGTCTAGTACTGTTTATTGCTAACAGACTTTGGACTGGATAAACTAAAGGATTTAAACACTAAAAGCCACCAAACCACACCCATACATCTAACTGCAAAAATGCAAATCCTCAAAACTCCCAGCCAGCTGCAGCCTATCCATCTACTTACATACCATCCTGAGGCAAATATTCTTCAACCTCTAAAATTCCCTACATAACTAAATAAACTTTGAATTAAACAGAGAAAAAAGTATATCTAAGTTCCAAAGGACTAAATATCTATGCCATGTGTAAGCCCTGTCTTTATTTACACACTAGGCATCCTGCTGGCACAAATAGCCGTAACAGGAAAGGTGCCTTTATCACCTTCTTCATTCTGTGTGGACATCAAGGTTTATGCAGCTGTGCACAAATGCTGCTAGTTTTTAAGAACTCCTCTAGCAACTGTTCCCTATTCCCTTTGAAGGCAAAGGCACAAGGCTGCATGCAATTATACCTGCATGGTTGAAAGAGACATTTTATTTGTCACTTTGAGGCTTTAATGCGACCGAAGTAGGCGATGTCTCTTTGCTTCCAACAGAGGGTAACAGAACAGGAATAGCTTACATGCCCCTTATCCATTTGTGAATAACAAATAAGGTTCATATCTAAGAAGGATCAAGCATTTTTGTGTTCATTGTATACAGTGATGCTTTTGAGTATGCTCTTTACAAAGTTCTGCTACTGAGTTACAAAGGCAATGTTGGGGAAATACACAGGAGTTGTGCAAATCATGAGTTCATACAATTCTAAGACCTTACCTTGCTTTTTTTTTAAAAAAGCTTTTTATAATCCTGCCTCTTGTGACATGTTGTAAGAAGATAGTAAGGTTTTCAGAGCAAGAAAACAACTTATTGCTGTGATATAAGTGGCGCTATGGGGAGTCTAATAGTAACAAATAAATAATATTGCCTGTGTTACTTCACTTCTCTCTACCTGCTTCTGTAAAATGGCATAATACTATTCATAATATAAAGTACATAAGATTTAGTTCTCAACTCATGTTTATCAAGAGAAAACAAGTTATACTGTATGATAAGAACCATTGATATATGAAGGATTAATAGGTTGATGCTTTATTCCTAAGGACAGGCAATGGTGCAGCACAGCCAATCAAGGAGGAGAGGACAGGCTACAGTATCAAAAATTCAATATGGGACATTGGAAAATTCCTATGTCAGGTCTCAGCTTATCTTCACAGACTTCCCAGATTGCACAGGAAACTGAGTCCTACACGGCATACTGTCCTGAACCCTGACCAGAACCCCAACCAAGAAAGTAACAGAGACTGCTGAGATGAAAACCAATGTGGGACATTTATCAAAATTTTATTGAACCTCAGAATGCTTTAACTGGGTTAAAAGAATTGGTAAATTTCTCTGACCTGGGTTACCTGCCTCAACAGAAAGTAAACCAAGGTACTAGAGATGACCATAAG